CGGTGTAGAATTATGCTTGAATTGGCGAAGTTAGTATTTTGGCGAATTTCGGTTGATAGGTGAGATTTTGATCTGAGAGTCGGAATGGAATTCCGAGAGTTGTTGTAGCTTCGTTAGGTGATTTGGGATATGTGTGCAAAATTTCAGGTCATTCGGACGTGGTTTGGTCGGGTTTTTGATCGAAAGTGTATTTCAGAAGTTTTTAGAAAATTACGCTTGAATTCGATGAGTTTTGGGTAATTTGATGTTGTTTGAGGGGTTTTGATGATTGGAAGAGGTTTGAATAATGTTATTAATTATGTTGGCATATTTGGTCGGGGTCCCATGAGTCTCGGATAAGTTTTGGAAGAGTTTTTGGAAGATTTTTACCGTTTGAGCATAAGTATGTAATGATCCAAAGGTTTGTTTTTAGTTCTAGAGATCGAAATTTTATTTCGAGATTTCTAGAATTTAAAAAATGAATTATAGGAGTGATCTGGAAAGTTTGGTCTAATTTCATCAAGTCGTGATTGGGTTTTTGACGCGAAACATGAGTTAATTGTTTAACGAGCGAAATGGATATCGCACTGAGCAAACGAGCTCCGAAATGAGTTTCGATTGAAGGACTATGTTCGTATCATTATTTGTGACTCATAGGAACAAGAATCATCTAATTCCGAGTTCGTATGATGGAGTTAGAACCATTTTAGTGAAACGAAAAAAAGCTGCAATTTTTTTGGCTACTGCTGTAATTTTTTTAGCAGCGTGAACAGTAACCGCGCATGTGAACAGTAACCACGCGGTGAACAGTACTTCTGAAAAATTAACATTTCATCCGCGAACCCAACCCATTTTTCCACCATTTTTGAGCAACCTTGAAATCTTTTGGACGAGAATTGAAGCGGTTTTGACGGGAAGTGATTGGAGGTAAGTCCTATGAACTAAATACATGATTATATTGTGAAATCATCCTTGAAATTCATGAAAATATAGCCAAATTGTAAGAAAATAGGGCTTGAAATTGAAATTCTAAATTTGGGATTTGAGGGGCCATTTGTGGTCCGATTTGAGAGATTTTTGTATGTATAGACTCGTGGCGAGATAAGGAACCCGATGACATAAAAATTTATGAGTTTCAAGACGTGGTCCTGGGGCTCGGGTTTTGTCAAATTCGTGAATTTTGATATTTTTCGAGTGTTTTTGATTAGGTATTATCCCTTTAGCATAATGCGACATATTCGTTGTGATTTTGGGTAGATTCGTCGCACAAGGAGGCTAATTTGAGAAGCAAGGGCATAACGAGCTAGAGCTTTGGCCGGTTTGAGGTGAGTAATTGATGTAAATGATGTCCTGAGGGTTTGAAACCCTGGAATTTCACTTCGTAATGCTATATTGAGGTGACTTGCACGCCGAATAACGGGCGTGGGGTAGAGCACCATTGGGGATTGTGACATGGTCCGTCCCGAGAGATGTTTTTACCGTGTTTTCTACTTGAACTAAATTGAGAATCATACTTACGTGGATTTAATTGTTACATTTGANTATAATCTGAATAAGAATTTGGGATAATGTTGTTGAATGGTCGGGCTTGCCTAGCAGTGTGTTGTGCGCCATCATGACCGGGGTTGGGGTCGTGACAAAACCTTTCGGGCACTATAAGTCGAATAAGGATCGTGAATCAAAATGGATAATCAGAGCATTGAAGCCTAGTTTCACGGTTTAGGGGTATAACAAGAGTTGAACATCAGACTTGCTTGACAGATTAGTCCACAAGTGCATGTCATGGTCATTAGAGTTGGTATCCACATTTGATAAGTTTCTACTTTGTAGTTTTATTGTTAGGAATCATCTCTTATTGTCCTTTACTCTTTTCCTTTTGTCTTGTTTACTTCCTCTTATGAGTCAGTTTGGTCAAAACAAGTGAGAAATGACTTCAAAATATGCTACCAGCTTTCTAATTGGACAAAGCAGAGTCGGGCTAGTGCATCAAAGTGGTATAAGTCAAGAAAGAACAGCATGCGCACTGAGTTGGTAGCAATCAACATGCTTTGGGATTCATGTGAAATACAAAGGTTTGATATATGTCAATTCATGAACAATGCAACATATAGAGTATGTTGGGTGAATGGATCAAAGGTATTTTCTATGATAAGGTTGACAGAAAAAGTGGTTAACCAATGACAAGCAAGGTCTTCCAAGCGGAAATCAAAGTTATCATAGCAAGTGAAGGAGCAATAGACCTCAAGGCCAAGGCCAGTTGTTTAAGTCAGGAAGGAACAACATGCGCACTGAGTGGGTGGAAAGTGACATGTTTTGGATTCATATGAAACATAAAGGTTCAGTATATGTCAATGCATGAGCATAATGCAACAGATGAATGGTATTGGGTTTGAATGGACCAGAGTTATTTTCCGTGATAAGTTTGATAGAGAAAGTGGTTAGTCAATAAACAGGCAAGGCTTTCGAGTTGAAATCAAAGTTATCATGGGAAGTGAAGGAGCAATCTCCCTCAAAGTCAAGGCCGCAAACCAACCACCATGTTTAAACTCACAAGTTTTCTTTGATTGAAACAGGGGCAGGAAATTTTGTTTGTTCCGGAGAAACCCTCCGTGAGGAAAGCATGTGCCAGACAGGCTCGGCAGTAAGTTTCTAGTACCCTCCCGGATAATGGGATTTAGTAAGTTTTGAGACCCTCATAAGTGACAAGGTCTGATGAGAGTTCTACTTTTGGGAAGTATAATTTGGCATTTAAATTTTAACTTTTGAGATGAGGCTTGGTTTAAAATTTTCAGGATAAAAGAATTTGGTTTAGAATTTATTTTGATAACAAGAATCGGTTAACACTCACAGATGTTCCCAATATCAAACTGGGGTAGAAAATTTCTTTTGTTTTGTCTGTTTTGTTATAATCAGGCATTCACCTGGAGAAACAAGGAAAGACAGTTCAAAGAAAAGCAGTTTCAAGAAGAGGACAATTCAGATTCAGCAATCAGGCACCCACCTGGAGAAACAAGGGAAGACAGTTCAAAGAAAAGTAGTTTCAAGAAGAGTACAATTCAGGTCAAGCAATCGCGCACCCACCTGGAGAAACAAGGGAAGGCAGTCCAAGTTTCGAGGGAAGACAGTTCCAAGGAAAAGTAGTTTCAGGGAAAGACAGCTCAAGTTCAGCAATCAGATACCTACCTGGAGAACAAAGGAAAACAGTTCAAGTTTCAAAGGATGAAGTTTTGGCAATCAGGCACCCACCTGGAGAACAAAGGGAAAGCATCAATGTTCAAAGGAAGATGGTTCAAGTTGAGCAATCAGGAGCCCACCTGGAGAACAAGGGAAAAAGGTCAAGTTTCGAGGAAAAGTAGTTCAAGTTTTGGCAATCAGGCGCCCACCTGGAGAGCAAGGGAATACAGTTGAAGTTTTGGCAATCAGACACTCACCTAGAGAACAAAGGGAAAACATCAATGTTCAAAGGAAGATGGTTAAAGTTCAGCAATGAGGACCCACTTGGAGAACAGAGTAAAACAGGTCAAGTTTCGAGGAAAAGTAATTCAAGTTTTGGCAATCAGGCGCCCACTTGGAGAGCAAGGGAATACAGTTGAAGTTTTGGCAATCAGGCGCCCACCTGGAGAGCAAGGGAATACAGTTAAACTTTTGGCAATCAGGCGCCCACTTGGAGAACAAAGAAATACAATTCAAGTTTTGGCAATCAGGCACCCACCTAGAGAATAAGGAAAGCAGTTCAAGTTTCAAAGGAAGACATCACAGGTTTCAGAGGAAAACAGTTTAAGGTAACAAAGGGAATACAATTCAAATTTTGGTAATCAGGTGCCCACCTGGGGAATAAGGGAATACAGTTCAAATGTTGGCAATCAGACACCTACCTAGAAAACAAGGGAATTCACTTCAGAATGCAATTCAAGTCAACAACAAAAGAAGCTCGCGGCAAAAATGCGAGTCAACAGTCCGAGATGATCAACAGAAGTTAGTCACAATCCAAAATAAAAAAAAAGGCAAGAAGTGAATCCAAATGCAGAAGTTGATGAAAGATGTGAGCTTCTCAAGATATGACTGAAGTCACAAGCATGGTGTGGTGTACGGTTGTGATCCAAAAAGCTTAAGAAGAATGAACTAGCACCTGCAACTAGCAAGCGTCAAGGTTCAAATCCAAAGTCTACATGAAGAACCGTTCAAGACTCAAGATCAAGCTTTAGAAGACTTATAGATAGGAATCTTGTAAATCATAGTTGATAGGCTTAACTAAACTTTTTCATTTTTTGATTTTGATGTAATAACAGGACCACAGACCGGAACCTCGACGGAACGGCACCTCGACCGGCTCACCACCTCGGTATAGTCCACCACTCTTCCTAATTCTGAACTACACGTCACATGATTCTTTTATAGCCAAAGATATGTAGGCAGCTCAGATAACAGAGCTCGGTCACATTCTCCTTCCTCTTAGTTTTTGGTCTCCTTAAATAAGTGTCGGGTAAAAAACCTGTCTAGTCATTCTTTGCCTAAAAACTCTTCGCGTTTCCAGTCAAAGAGGGGCAACTGTAGACATGTGGTTTTTTACCCTCCCCAAGATTTTTTATATTTTAGTATGTAAATATTTAGTTTAGGCCTAATATCTTTATTTCAACTAATTTTGACTCTCTTACTTTATTTCGTCACAAAAAAAAATGAAAATTACAAAAATATTTTAGTTTACGTATCTTTCATAAATTTAAATAAAAAATATATCTTTATTTTCATATAATCTTAAAAAACGCAAAAATAGTTTCATATTTTAAGATACTTTAGTTTAATCAATTAAGATTAGTTTTATATTTTTATATTATAAACTGTATATAATGTTAGAAGGAGGAATTAGTTTTGGGTTGATTTATCCCGTCTTTATAAATTTTGTATTTTTTTTGTTAGTCTTTGGCCCAATTTTAAGGCCTAATAATACCAAACTCATACCCCCTTAACCTAAAAACCCTTCTATATAACCAAAACTAGTCTAAAAAATACCCTTGACTTGGATCCCTACCCGGTCAGATCCGCCATTTTCAAGAATAACGACCCCCACCCCCTGAAATCCATCTTCTTCAGCCCCCATCGTTCTACTTCTTCCCGAACCAGATGACTAGTCCCTAGCTTCACCTTTTTCAATGCTTGGACACAGAAAACCCAGCCTGTTTCCATCCATCGCCACCCAACTCACCGGAATCAACCAGCCACCAATCGAGTCCCTTCAACCTTAGAACACCCAGCAAAACAAGACTCCTCCGCAAAGTCTCGACCATCGCCTCACCCCCTGATTTATGACTTCTCTCAACCAAAAACTTCATCACATCAAACCTACGGATCTCAGCTACACACAGCAGAGATAAAAGAAATTTTATTTTGCTTCTTAAAATACCAGCAAATCAAACAAAAATAGGTTTCAATCGTCTTCTTTCCGATTTCGATTTCTGTTTCATTATGAAACTCGTGTGCGTTTTCGTTGGTTCGAGTCTGACTAAGAGCTGCCGTCCGCTCGAGGTCTCATTTGGGTTTGTTTGAGTCCGTCGCCGTTTATCGTCCGGATTTGGTTCGCTCGAGTTCAGTCCATTTCCAATTTCAGCCACAACAGTTGGTTCATCTTCGTGTAGTTTTGCTTGAAATTTCAGTCAGTGAAAGCTCTAATTTTCAGGTTATTCAATTTCCAATTTACTGATTTGTGTTATCTTGTACTTAGCTTCCATAATGATAAGTTGGAGCTTTTGCTTGTGTTAAGTGTTGCCTGATACTTATTATGCCTCTCCCTGTTACCATTGGATTTTTCTTATAAATTACACTCTGTATCATTGTTTTGTTTGTCCAACAAAGATATGTACCATTCTAAGTACTCTGAAATATACATCAATAGCTGTTACTGTTTTCTTTATTAGATTAGGATTTCTCATTTATATTCTTCACCTGTAAATAGTCCCATATTACATACTTCGTAGTAGATTTAAAAATTCTAAGTACTGATCCTTACTATCTGATAAACACGTATTACACTAGAATCATAGATCACCGTCATAAGTTTTTAGTTCTAGTTGATTAAATTAAGACTACCCTTGAAGAATACTTTTTTAGTAACCGGTGTAAAAGAGTGCATGAAATTGCATGATTTCTACTGTGGTGTAGCTTAGTGCGATAATATTGAATTATCCTTCTGGTTGGGGGGAGGAACTACTGGTGAAATTGATTATTTGATGCAGAATTTCAATTGCCAATTGTTTCCGCTGCTGCGTCCTCCCTTGTGTTCCCTTTGAGCATGTAAATTTATGATTCCATTCTTCTCAGAGATTACTGATTTAGTTGTTTTCATTTAGCTATTGAAGTTCTCTATGTGCTTGTGCTTAGGTACGATTAATAATGAACCATCGTGACTATGGGTACGGTTCCCGTGATATGGTCATAATACATAATCCCCAATTCGGGTGTGCATTTTATGTGACCCGACCTTAACTTCAAACAACAATTAAAATAAACATGTTATAAATCCGGGTGTGCATTTCATGTGACCCGACTTCAATTTCTAATAATGTTAAATAAAATAAATATGCTGTGAACCGCAGGTGCATTTCATGTAGCGTGGTTTACGATATGTTTTCAAAAACAATCTTGAATTTTCCTAAAAAAAATATTAAAAGCGGTTAGAAAGTTAAAAATGCACGTAGGTTTTAAGTGTGTAAATAATCAGATAATTAGGCCAATATTAATAGTAAGCGACCGTGGTAAAACCACGGAACTCGGGATTGCCTAACACCTTCTCCTAGGTTAACAGAATTCTATACCCGGATTTTTGTATTCACAGACAATAAATTAGAGTCAACTTCCTCGATTCGGGATTTTAAACCGGTGACTTGGGACACCATAAATTATCCCAAAAGGCGACTCTGAACAATAAATAATCCCGTTTAGATTGTCACTTAAATTGGAAAAAACTCTCTTATACCCTTCCAGGGGTGTGAAAAAGGAGGTGTGACAAATGCGCCTTTCTTTCCCTTTTTGCAGCAATTGCATGGATGCCATACGAGGTCCCCGACCTTACGGATTGGGCTTGGATGTTGGCGACCCACTCGACTTATAATGAACGTAAGTGGCGAGACTTGTCTAAAGGGTAGATGGGAGGCAAAACACCACGGTACGTGCTATGTTATTTGCTCCTTTATTGAAAGGCACTTTCTTTTTATGCATACTAACTCTGTCATTGTAGGCATTGGGGAGTTCTTCGAGGCGAGATTGTGCCCTCTCGGAGAGGGAGAAAGATCGTCAGCTTCGGGGCCGAGGAATAATAATAATAAGCAAAAAGGGCCTTCGCAGGGCGACAGTGCTGATAGCAAGACAAGTTCATCCCGAAGGCTCAGAGAGGATGTATTAGTTGAGCCTGCAGCGCCCGAGATCTCTGGCTTTAGAAAAACGGTCTCTCCTCCAATGCGGTCTTCTTTTCTCGTCGAAGGTACCTGGAGGAACGAGGGTTCTCTGCCGCCGACTTCTTCTCCTATCGAAGATACTTCGAGGGATGCTCAAAGCCAGGGGCCGTATATATCGAGCGACCGTATCCCAATCGGGGGCAGTTCTATTGGGGTTGATGGATCCAGAATAATAGATGTGCGCTTGACTTTTGAGGAAGCTCAGCGGCTATACTCTGTGGTGAGTTTTGGCCGATCGTGTTGGTTTTATAGTTTTTGCAGTTTTTACTCTCTTATCGAGTTTCTCCTTCATAGGCTTTTAACAAGCTCAAGTTTGAGCTGCTTCATCGTGAGTCCAGTCTGCGAAAAGCCGAGGATGGGGAGAAATCCCTCAGGCTTTTTTTGCGATGAAAGGAAAGACGTGTTGGCACACTTGTGGTATGAGGCGAGTCGAAGTCTGAACTACGAAAGCTACCTCGAGGAGCAGGTAATTTTTGTTCCAAAGGAGTGCGTGTTTCTTCTTCTATCTTCTGAGGCTAATGTTTCATTTACTTCAGTTGCAGAAAAAGACAGAGGACCTAGAACGCCTTTGGACGAAGTTGGTCAAGCTAGGTGTGAGTGCGATGAGCTAAAGGCTCGGGTGGACGCCCAGGTTGCGGCCAAGACAGATGCTTTGGCCAAGGCTTCCGCCCTGGAAGTACAATTTCGCAATGCTCGTGAGAACAGCTCGTTCCTAACGAACATGATTACAAGGCTCGAATATAAGCTTCTAAAGATGAAGGCTGAAGTTATGGATGCCCGGGCTGAAGCTGAAGCAATCCGAACTAAGGCTGATAAGAAAGTGGCCATCTATTTGAAGGACGTTGCCGATGCTCGAGCTGAGCTGAGAGGGGGTCTTGACCATGAGAGCAGACGCAAGGAGTATGCTCGGTGCAAATCTTGAAGGGAAACCCTTAAGGTGATCCACGCTAGGGTCTTTGGTCTCTCGGAAGAGATAGAGCAGACAAAGGCAAATGAATATGATGTCAGGTTCCTTCTGCCCGATGTCGAAGACAATGGGGAGGAGGCCGGTGGGCCACAATTCCCGAATGGAACGTAGGCTTATGCTTTTTTCTTTTCAGTCTTATGTATGGTGTTCCTAGAAGACTTTGTAAGTGAAGCCTTATGTAATTATAAAAGGAAACTCTTTGGTTCCATTCTTCTTTGCATGTGTACGTCTTTCTTTGCTTTGAATTTCGACGCTTTGTCAATGATTGGCCGCATAAGTTGGGCCTTGGGGTAAAAACCCTTAGGCTTTAAATATGGCCTCGAGACTCGTCGGGCTATCCCATAGGCTCTCACGTGTTTGCCTTTATGCATTTTTGGTTGTGTTTGGGTTTGATCTTCGAGGGGGTTTCCACTTTTGTTTATTGATCTTCATGTTTTTGAATTTTAAGCTAGACCTTAGGCTCTTACGCACTGGGTCGGTATGATTTTTTTAGTATAATCCAGCGTTTTATGCTTTTGCTCTTAAGCATATTCAATTAACTATTTCGGGTTCAGTCTCCGAGAAGGGTTTCGACTCGAGCTCATTGTCCCTTAAGTGTTTGAATTTAAAGTTGGCCCTTAGGCTATTACGTGTTAGGTCGGTGCAACCTCTCATGTGAGCTGGCGGCAGTGACTCTTACGCATTGGGTCGGCACGACCCTTTATATGGGCTGGCGGCAATGTCTCTTACGCTTTGGGTCGGTACGACTTCTAATATAGGCTTTATTTTTCCCTCGTTAAGGACTTTTTGAAATTGTGTTTGTCTGACTCTTCGACGGTTCGATAAAAACCTCGATTGTAAGTTGTTATGTGGCAATGAACGAGCACCTAGGGAGGTTTTGCTTGGTAGCTGAGTGTTTCGAAGCTTATAGTTTGGAGCTGACATGGTCGAAGCTCTTTTGCCTATGTCGAGGTAGCCTGTTTAACCGGTTCTTTTCGAAGTACTTTCGAAGTAATTAAAGGCCTGTGATTTTATAGTGATGGTCAGGCGTCCCCGAGTCGCGTTAGTTCTGTTACACCCCATAAGTTTAACAACTTTGATACCGTTATATATGTATATTTGATATGGTATTTTGGGTGGAACATTTTTTATAAAGAAAAAAAATGGTTAGAAAAATATAATTTTATATAATTATTAATATTACTACTTTCAAATATGTGTTAAATTATACACATAATATAAGAAAGTTTATGAAATTTTCTTTATTGTAAAGATAGAGATTATTTCTCACAAGAAAATAATGTTATCCTTTTACCATTTTAACAATTAAGCGTATGAGAATTTTTATTCTTTATATGAGATAAGGAAAAATTATAAGTTGAGAAAATATATGTATTTTTACATGAATGTTTGAATAGAATAATAGTGTATGTATTTTTTTTTATGGTACCACATGGCCATAATAGTAAGGTTTATAAAGTGTGTTAAAAGTGAATGATATTTTAAATAATTGATGTATCTCCAAAAGTTGTGACACTAAAATGGGTACATTCTTCATACAGTGACTAAAGCTAACCATAGGGGTCGATAGTAATTAATATATGACACTAGGATAAAAGCTACGTTTGCAAGAAAGAATCCTTGCTACATCATTCATAGATGCCACGACACCATAAATGTAGATGCTACAAATTACAATTTGCTCAGTAGCCACAATTTTAGGTGCTATGACTTGCTTAAAAATAGGTACTATAATCGGTCAGTGGCTTTAAACATTTGAAAGTGCTATGATTGCTCGGTAGCCATCTAGATTTTAGTGCACAAATTTCCTTACTAAGTTTCCTTTACTAGAGTAATTGATGATCTGCAATGTCAAAACCACCAACGTGGCAGCCATATAGGACTAACTAGATTACTAATAAATCTAATTAAATAGGTGGCAAGAATAAATGAGTCTTGGAAAAGATAGTAGAACTACTTTAATACTTAAAAATATCCTAAACAAGAAGTAGATATGATGTCCATGCTTGCTAGCTCTTTTATTTTGGAGATGTGTAGTGAATATGATTTTCATGGACTTTCAAATTGGCAGGCACCACCACCTTGCTGCCAGCATCAACCTTCTTTCATTAACCTACTAGAAGTTTTCTTATGATGAAGGTAAAAGCTATAATTGCGGAAGGTTCACTTGCAAAAATTGTGTGAAAAGGAGTTACCTGAAAGAGACAAACGGTAGAAACCTACTGTATGAAAGATTGCTTGACCTGTTGCAAACATGCAATGCGCATTTATGTTACCCTTTGAATAGCTATATATGCATTGTTGTCGGTTCTTCAAATAAAAAGCCAATCAGTTTGTGGCCAGGTTAATGGTTATGGTTATGGCTGAACCCAGAACATTGCTTCTCACACCAAAGTTGAATCTGCTGTTGGACAAAATGAACGAATAAAGTACAAGAGTTGGAAACCCAACAAGAAAGCTTGATATAGTATCTTTTTCAATAGGGTGAAATTTTAAAGAATCGACTAAGGTATGTCAAGGTTAAGCGCTTATTTCATTTTGCATGATCTTGTCATTACACGATTTTGTTAATGAGCCATAAAGGAAAATTCATATCCCGAAATTTACGTATATTTTGCTAGTTTCGCAAGTTACAATATTTTCTTTATCGGGACTTCATATTCATTTGAGTATTTCATTCTTCAAGTCAAGAGAGCAGAGAGTTTATATATACAGTATTAAACTATTTTCATTACCATCGAGCTATAATCGATGAGCAGGCTCCTATTGGGCAACCTCTGATCAGATGGTAAGTTAAATACCAAGTCTACTGTGGCCGAACGCTTATTAGCGAGCCCAGTTGGTCGAGATACAGAGCCTAATATGTGCGAGCCTACTACGGCAGAGCAGTTATATATATACCGAGCCTATTGTGGCCGAGCGCTTATGAGCGAGCCCAGTTGGTTGAGATATAGAGCCTAGTATGGCCGAGCGCCTATGAGCGAGCCTACTACGGCAGAGCAGTTATATATATACCGAGCCTACTGTGGTCGAGCGCTTATGAGCGAGCCCTATTGGTCGAGATACAGAGCCTAGTATGGCCGAGCGCCTATGAGCGAGCCTACTACGGCAGAGCAGTTATATATATACCGAGCCTATTGTGGCCGAGCGCTTATGAGCGAGCCCAGTTGGTTGAGATATAGAGCCTAGTATGGCCGAGCGTTTATTGGCGAGCCTACTACGGCAGAGCAGTTATATATATACCGAGCCTACTGTGGTCGAGCGCTTATGAGCGAGCCCTATTGGTCGAGATACAGAGCCTAGTATGGCCGAGCGCCTATGAGCGAGCCTACTACGGCAGAGCAGTTATATATATACCGAGCCTTTTAGGATCGAACAACTATTTTTACTTACTATATTAAGAGAATTGAGTTATCAGCAGGTAAGCATATCTTCAGTTTATCTTTAACTTCCAACTACTTGTAGTTATTATATTATCAGTTCAATTTCAGCTTTCAGTTCTGCCTTATATACTCAGTACATTATTCATACTGACATCTTTTTGTTGATGACGCTGTGTTTCATGCCCGCAGGTATAAACAATCAGTTTGACGAGCCTTCATAGTAGATGGGATTTGCATTCAGCGAAGGATCGGTAAGACTCTACCTCATTCGGAGTGCAACCGAATCTATGAGTCATCGTGGCAGAATTTTACTACATACTTATGGTAGGCCGGTACCCTGTCCCATTTGATGTCGAATAATCTTAGAGACTTTGTAGACAGAGGTTCATTTTGTGTAGTATGTCAGAGGCCTTGATGACCCATATGTATTCATACTTTAAGAACAAGGGTTCATTAATATAACATTTGCCCACTTACAATTGTACATTATGAGTTATGGCCATATTGGCCCATGATAGTTACAAAAGGAATGAATGAGTTTTAGAGTGGTTCGCTCAGGCCACTACGACACTGAGTGCCAACCACGCCTCTCAAGGTTAGGGCGTGACAAAGTGATATCAGAGCAGGTCATGTCCTAGGGAGTCTACAAAGCTGTGCCTAGTAGAGCCTCACTTTTGGGTGTGTTGCGCGCCACATTTATAATTGAGAGGCTATAGGGAATTTAGGAAATGTTACCCTTCTTTTATTTCCAGATCGTGCCATAGAGCCGAGTCGTAAGAAGTCAGTATGAAACTTTCACTAGATTTCGTATGCACCAGAGGTGCAGGTATTACAGTAGAGCTCTAGGGCGTAATGTGGAAGGGAGATTATGAAAGAAACAGAAGATACAATGCGAGATTGAAAAATAAGTAAAGTGAATGTAAAGAAGATACGACATACTCGATTACAAAAGGTTGTGAATAGTCAAGACTTCAGATATAGTTTGAGTTTTAAGTTTAATTTACAAAGGAGACCCTAGTAAAAAATTTTGGAAATCTCTAAGAGTTAACATTCGAGGACGAATGTTCTAAAGGGAGTAAGAATGTTACACCCTGTAAGTTTAACAACCTTGATACCGTTATATGTATATTTGATATGGTATTTTGGGTGGAACATTTTTTGTAAAGAAAAAAAATGGTTTGAAAAATATAATTTTATATAGTTATTAATATTACTACTTTCGAATATGTGTTAAATTATACATAATATAAGATAGTTTATGAGATTTTCTTTATTGTAAAGATAGAAATTATTTTCTCACAAGAAAAGAAGGTTATCTTTTTACCATTTTAACAATTAAGCGTACGAGAACTTTTACTCTCTATATGATATAAGGAAAAATTATAAATTAAGAAAATATATGTATGTTTAGATGAATGTTTTAATAGAATAATAGTGTATGCATTTTTTTTATAGTACCACATGACTATAAAAATAAGGTTTATAAAGTATGTTAAAAGTGAGTGGTATTTTAAATAAATTGATGTATCTCCAAAAATTGTGACACTAAAAATGGGTACATTCTTCAAACAGTGACTAAAGCTAACCATAGGGGTCGATAGTAATTAATATATGACACTAGATAAAAGCTATGGTTGCAAGAATCCTTGCTACATCATTCATAGATGCCACGACACCATAAATGTAGATGCTACAAATTACAATTTGCTCAGTAGCCACAATTTTAGGTGCTAGGACTTGCTTAAAAATAGGTACTATAATCGGTCAGTGGCTTTAAACATTTGAAAGTGCTGTGATTGCTCGGTAGCCATCTAGATTTTAGTGC